GCAGAACCAGGCTCAGGGAGGGGCGGGGCCATCTGCTGCATCCAGCTGGGGTGAGAGAAGGAAGACAGGATAAAGACATGCTGTGGAAGAGAGACAGAGATTAATAACAGGTGTGATTCAATGCAGAGAGGTCTGTTAATACACAATGAGTGAGAAAGGTGCCTGAAGAAGAAATACTCAATGCATCATGGGAATCCCCCAGCAGCCGACACCTATTGCAGCATAACTAAATAAAATAAAATGTGAATAAATTATCCAAAATCTCACTAGATAACAGAGCTTATGTCACTAAGATTATATTTAGGCATAAGATTATTTTATTAGTAAGTCCTACTCTTTACCTCAAGCAACCCTCCCTCGAGCTCACACTGGTCACGAGACTCCTTTCTAAAGATGTTCATAGATTTATACTTTAAAGCTCAACGTCATCCACAAAAATGTGCCCACATGTGAGTCAAATGATGCTGAACACAAAAAAGGAAAATCCAATCTGCAATTTATAAACCTGTGATCTATGAATTTCAAACCATCCTTAATTGACAGCACCTGCGCTACACGTGTCTATGTGAACGATTTCAGGAAGTTTAGTGTTGAGCAGAAATGGAGCAAAAGAAAAAGGGAAACGTTTTGGAAGACGATGTAGGTTTGCTTGGCCATTCTAGGCCTGCTGCAGAAGGAAGGGTTTAGTTATAGTGTCTCTGACTCCTCCAGTGACTGCCACTTTATTTCCTCATTCATACGGTCAATATCAAGGCACATTGGAGCTCATTCATCTTCAGAGGTTTATATCTACCCAGAGGAATCTTGGTTTGTTATTCATTATATCCAACATGGTCACTATTTTCTAATCACTCTGTAATCAGTTTAAGCAGAGAAACAGACTTCGCTGAACATTGCAGATGTTATAATCAGAACAGATTCGACAGGCTACATTTAAAACATATACATCATATGCATTTATATTTTATAATTCTGTTAAATAAGTGTTAAACTAGCAATCAGGATATCAGCCACTTCCTCTGTATTGAAACATGCTTATATTGAACATCCTTGTCCACTGTAAACTTACAAAAATCCCATGCTGAATTTGACTCATATCACAGGTCCATCAGCAAATTCTGCCTTGTGTTGTATTCATATTTTTACCTTGCACACTACGCCCCATGGATTTTGCATGACACGTAGATTTTGTTGTTGCTGTTTTTTAGATAAAAGTGCTGTTTGTGATGCAATCACCAACCAAGCTTAGCTGTCTCTTAGCTTTGACATCTTTAAATCTGTGCTGGGAAGACAGTTATGTTCCCACTGTCGCCTACAAATTTGCATTGTGCACAAATTGCAGCCGGGGTGTGAATAAAGGTTCAAACGTCTGCATTTAGTGCTGCTTAACGCTCTAGTTTTCACCAGCCACTCAAACTGATTTCCATGCCATGTTGGGGATATATGGGTTTATTCGTTGTTTAGTGAAGTCCATAATGGCAGCTTCTTAAAGCTTAAATCTCTAGAAGCACTGAATCTTTCACACTGAATAATTAAATTCATTGTTCATGCAAAGATGTACAGTGGATAAGAGCATCTTCAATTCTAAGGCAACAGAAAACAAGTGCAAGAAGTTATCGACTGTTTGCTTTGTAGAAGCAGAGAGATGTGTGATCTCCGCTGTTACAGTTGTAGCTTTAATTGACTGTCAGCCTTATGAAACCTTGAAAGCTACCAAAAGGAAAGGGAGATGGGCACAAATGCACATACTTCCTACATTAATCTTAAGGGTAAACTGTTTTTTTAATGAAGGAATGCCAAAATTAAAAAAGAAAGAAAGAAAAAGTAAAAAAGGCCATGCTTTGAAAGATCCACAGGGTATCTTGGTGCAACAGATTCATGCTAAGCCTCTTATGATTGCCTCAGTATTTTTGTAACCTGAAGGCTCTGATATGCACCAGTCCTGTAGTTGTTAAAATAATGTGATGCAACAAAATGAGGCAGCAGTGCTGGGAGAATCCCATTTGGTCTCTATGTATTAACTTTAATCACTTAAACATGGTTTTAAATATCTTCCCTGTAGCTATGGCAACTTTTTTACATGACAACAATCAACACTGATTGTTCAAATACACAAATACAAATACAAACAAGTCAATGACACAACAATAACTCGTTTGTAAGATCCTTTAGTCTCTACAGGACAAAAAGAAAAATATTTTCACACCCCTGAGCAGCACTAAAATATTACTTTTGCATGTTACCCTGCCATAGATGTCATGTGTGACAGGCTGTCTGAAGAGTGTCAGGGTCATTGAGTCTCCACAATAGATTTGCAGACAGTTATCTACTGCTGGTATCGACAGCAATGTAGGGACTGAAAAGATAAGAGACGGCACAAAGAAACAGCAGTCAGAGGATAAAACTTCTTTTTGTCTTTTTTCGTCAAAGAAAATGAGCAAGTTTTTCTCTACTGAAAAAAGGAGAAAGCAATTTCAGTCTACCCCAGCTGTTAAGACCTTTTGATGCATTTTGTCACCTGAAAATGAACAGGAAAAAAGTATCCTGCCTCCTTGCCTTCCTTGAAGATTGAGAAATAAGTGCTCTTGGGGGCTTTTTGACAATAAAAAACTGGTATAATGAGCATGTTAGTATATCAGTATTTTAAAGGCTCCCCCTGGAATTTGCCACGTGATGTTTTAATGTGATGTCTTAATAAGATGAACCATACTCCTCCTTATCTGTAGTTTGCACCCTGGCTTTAGCTCAGCAGACTCATGTTAGTTTACTTGACTATTAAAACATTTCTAATATTTAAAAAGATGGTATTTTGTCCAATTACTTTTCATCCCCTGAAAACTGTTTACACAAAAGTTTATTTAAAATGCATTGTGGTTATGTACAGAGGCAAAATTGCTTTGGTAATTTTAACCACCACTTTAACGATGAGCATTTCAACGATTAAGTTATTAAATCTACTGTGCCAGTTTTTAATGGATCTCGTGCTACATATTATAGCAGTTCATGTTGTGTAATTTTACATTGCAGTCTTACTCTGAGTAAGCAAAAGTTAACTGTACGGCCGGATCTACAGTGGGGCAAGGGGGGGCAGCTGCCCCCTGCTCTAGAGCCTTGCCCCCTCAACTTTTATGTCTATTAGCCTAAAAGTGATAGCTGAAATTAGTCCCTTTTCTGTATTTGTTTTCTGTATTTATTTTTGTATTTATTGTGTATTTATTTGTGTTTATTTTGGGGGACTTTTTCTTATCTTGTCTACACAGAAACAATTATCTTTGTTCTACCAGAAGAAATAATGATACAATAAATATTTTGTTGACTCCATTTACATAAAGGGGATTTTCAGATACTTCACTGAAAACAACAAAGCAAAATTTGAGAACAGGATATTTTGTGTCTAATTGGTAAAAGGTTGAGGTTTTTTTTTTTACTTGTATATTTATTTATTTACTTTGTGGTCTCTGGCTAGCTCCCACACTCTCTCCACTCCCACCTAAGTCAACCTGAAGCTAACATAAACCTGTTTTCCCGTTTTGACATCTAACGCTCAGTGACACCACGGCACTGGAGACGCTGGATGATCCTCTCTTTATGCATCATCGCCCTGACAACACACGCTGGCTGCAGGCACGAGGCTTCAGCCGGTACGCGTCTCAGCTTCATTCCTGAGGACAGATGCCTCTGACACCGGAGCGCAGCAGCAGCAGAGGCGCAGTCTGACTCTTCTCCGCTTCGTCGGGATCGCATGAGGATCACTTTTCTTTTATCTTGGTTACTGATCATTGTTTTCATGGATAAGTACACCTCTGCTTTATCACCGGCGCTGGACATCGGCACGGGCTGCTACCTGCTGGTCTTAAGTAAGTTGAAAATCGCACTTAAAGTAGAAACAATGACAGTTTATGGTTTTTGAATGCTTCCCATCTCTGATCATCTTAATCCTGTCTTGGAATGTACTCTTCAATAGCATTGACTTATTCTCCCGGCTTTGGAGACCTAAACTGAATTAAAAGAGCGTGATCTTTTTTTTATAATCCATTTTGCTCACATGAGTTCAAAGCAGCTTTCTGAGAAAATACTGGGAAAAAAATATAATCTCATGATACTGAAAATGCGTGCAGAACAGAATAAAGTCAGCGGACCGAAAACTGTGACAGACGTTTTGCAAAGTCACAGGAGACCTAACATTTTGCTTAAATCTGAAATCTCCCACACCCACCCTCCACACCGTCATTTACAAGGTTAGAGTAAGTTTGTGTGGTGTGTAGTGTATTTGCATGAAATCTGTTTGGTACAGTCAGGTAAGGAGAACAGTGGTCTTAGGTTTCAGAGAATATATAATATAACCTTCAGAATAATCCTAAGTGACAGAAGTAAGTCTTCAACCTTGTATGCCGCCCTTTATATAAGATATTCGATTCTGTGTTTACTAAAATAGTTTATTTAAAAGAAAAACTACAGCCTTCAGGATGGGGGTGGAGGAGGTTATTATTACTTATGTTTGGGATATTATATATCATTACAGTGACAGACATGGACGAGGCCGAGGTAAACACTACCATCATTCACTTATCATTACCTGCCTGTCACCAATGAACGGAGGTCAGAGAGGATGCTACTCCTCAAGGTGCTCCAAATGCGTGCAGTGGCTGTGATGACAGAGAAAGGTGGAAGGAGGTGCTGGGGTGCAGGAGGGTTAGAAGAATTATGGAAACACAGCTGCGAGGCATTTCCTGCTTTTTATTGAGAACTGATGCCAGGGGCCATATTTAAAATGAAAATTTGAAATGACGCCAGACAGAAACTGGGAAGAAAAAAATCTTACCAAAGGGGCACTTATCAGGTGAGAGACCAAAGGGCCTGTGGTCTGTCTGTGCATGTGCAGACTTAATGTGAGAATTCAGTGCAGGGATAATTCTGGTGTCCAGCCTGCTGGTAAAGCCTTTAAAAACATAGAAATCTCCACAAAGCTACTGTGATCTCCTGATCAATAAGACGGACAGAAGCACAGAGACTCAGTCATCCTCCTGCTATTTCGCACAGTTTATCTGCCTGGAAATGCATCATTAAGCAGTAAGTCTACTGCACAACCAAAGATAGACTGATAGATTGACATAATAGAGGGTGGAGAATAGCAGCCGAGGACAAAGACCACTGGTTCTTTCATCCACTGATGGCAGGATTTATGAAGCAAAGCAGCAGAGGTTCATAATCCAAATGTTTGAGGTTTGATGTATTGAATTGGTTCTTCTAATGGACAAAAACAGCTGGTGTAGTTGTTCTGTCTGGGAACCACATTCACCTCCTGCTGATCTTTCTGTTATCCAGCATGAGAAATGTGTGCCTTATTTTATTTTTGTGCTGCATTTTGCATTTAGAAATTTAAATCAAACATGATTTCAGAATGTAGCTGGCCTTTCATGTGTTTTTAGGTGGTGACGTGGTGGGATTGGGAGGACAGCAATGCTTTGCAATGCTTTGAGATAAAAACATAGATGGGCTGTAGTCTGTAGTCTGACAGATTGTGCTACAGGGAAGCTGGATAAATAATGCAAGCTAAGAGAAGTTAGAGAAAGATAAACCGTGCTGTGTTTTGATGCTGGATGATTAATACAAAGCCTGGTCTGATTTCATTTCTGTTCGGTTCTCTGCTGCCCACAGGGGGGGAAATACACTATATAGGGCTTAATCAATCACTTCCACTGAAATCAGTCCCGACACCATCGCTCTGCTTCTGGTTATGAGGCAAGTTTCTTCCCAGAAAATTTCACACAAATACAGACAAATTATATCCAGTGATTGAAGTCATAGTCACATCACAGCAACAGAAAAACAGCACATGTGTGCAGGGAGATGTCCATGTGCACACTCATAAAAGCTGCTAAAAGGCTAAGAAAAGTTTAGTAACAGTTTGAATTCCCCCCTAATAATGGTAGAAGACCAAGTTAGCTACAGCTGCATTAAAGTAATCCGATTGACTTCCTATTCTAAACCATTCTACTCCAACTGTTTGTAGTACAGTCCCTTTATCCTGATGTTCCCACACAGTGTCTACACCCTTGACTTTGTGCAGAATGGCCAAAGATTAAAAAGAGAAAATTAATTCCCTTTGGATTCAAATTAGCCCTTGCATTGTTTAAAGCGTGCCTGCTTAGAAACAAAAGGATCCTATGTTTATCTGTGAGGGTTAAACACTAAAGACCTTTACCGGGGCGAGGTCTACAGGGGACCCAAACAAAAGGATGACCAGTGATTTGACTTGCACGAACAGTTAAGGATACTAAAAGAGTCAGAGATAACGTCTGATGAGCAGCATGAGGAACAGGAGCATGAAACACCATGAACAAGACTACAGACACAGAGGGATGATTAAACAAGAGCAGAGGCAGATGCAGTTAAGGTGGGGCAGACAATCACAACGACGGGACCACAAAGGGATTTTCTCATTTCTGTAATTTGCACCTCCTTGTTCCCTCTGTCCTCCGTTTTTTTTCCTGTGACCTGGATGTCAGTCTCATTATTCCACATTGAAGGATGTTTTAGTTCCTCAGTCTGTTCAGCCTGGTGGGCAAATGGTTGCCAAGGAAGCTATAGTCAAGGATCCACAGGTGTATCCTTTGCAGATGTGCTTTTACATCTTTTTACAATTTTTACAAACAAAAAGCGACAGTGCAGTGGGAGGAAGACTCTTAGAACTACCCATCCTTTCTATTAATGTTGTAGCTTAACTCAAATAAAATCATCAAACTTTGTACCCGTGAAAAAAAAGGAGCTGCGTCTTTACATTGTCCCATGTTGTGACCTTTAAGCAAAAGTCACGCTAAATATAAAACACGCTGTTACTTCTTCTCCTACGTGTCGATGCTGTACCAGTAGACAATGTATGGATTAGGATGAAAACAGCCTCTTCATCTGTCTGTCTAAATCTAACAGTAAGGGCTGTCATACCACTATATAATTGACCCCTTTTCATTTACCCCTGTGTGTATCCATAGATCACAAATGCTGCTGCAGTTGGATCTCTACAGGTCTTTCTCACATCCAGTCTGTCCAGGAGGGACACGTGTTGTCAAACCTACTGCTTCTTCTTTTGTCTGCTCCCTTTAGGGGTCACCACGCTGGATTATCTGCCTCCACCTCACCCCTTCCTCTCTGTCACATCACCATTCTGCATGTATTCCTTCACTACATCCATGAATCTCTGTGCAGTCTTCCTCTTTTCCTTCAGTTTGGCAGCTCCATGCTCAGCATCCGTTCGCCATTATATCCATGTGCTTCATCTGCATGTGTCCAAACCTTCTCCATATTGAAAGAAGACAGTGCACCATGCAGCTTCAACAACTCTTTCTCATGTCTTTATTGTATGGCTCATTAATCCTCCTGTAGCTCCTACAGCTTTGCACGTCCTCCTTGTTCATAAAAACTGGAATCAGTGTTAAACAACCTGGTCCACTGTGCTTTCTCCTAGACATCTCCATAGCTCCACAGGACCAACCAGCGACGTCATCTGGACCAACCAGCTTTCCACTTTTCATCCTCTTCATAGCTGCCCTCACTTCCTCATTACTAATCCTCTGCAGTTACTGAATCAGGAAGTGCAGAGGATTAGTCAGGAGGAAGTGAGGGCTCCTCTCATTTTCTTCGTTCATCAGCTCCTTAATAGTACTCCTTCCTCTATCTTTAACCCTGGAGAACCAATGGGGTCAAATTTGACCCCATGGGTTCCCTAGTAAACCAATGGGGTCGGATCTGACCCCATGGGTTCTCCAGGGTTAAGCACCCTAACCTCCTGCACGTCCTTTCCAGTTCAATCTCTTGCTAGCCAATTGATACAAATCTTTTTTTCCTTTCTTAGTGTCCACATACAACGCACTTAAAGTCCGTTCCTTTGCCACCCCTCTCTTTGCTGTGTGCATAGCCTCCCAGTACTCCTGTATATTTTTTGCATCTCCCTGACTATCCCACTTTTTCTTTGCTAACCTGTTCCTTTGAATACTTTCCTGCACAGCCTCGTTCCACCACCAAGTCTTCTTCCTTCTGCTCAGAGGATACACTAAACACCTTCTTGGCAGTTTCTCTCACCACTTCAGTTGTACTGTCCCAGCCATCTGTTATCTCTTACCTACCACCCAACTACTCTGTGTAACATTTTACCTTCTTTAACCTCCTCCATTTAATTCACTCACTTCCTCTCCTTCCAGAGTCGTCCTACAGACTACTGTCCATCTGCCGAGCTACATTCTTCCCTCACACCAGCTTGCAGTTTCTTTTCTCTTTCACATTACACTTTCTCCAGGATTTAGTCCAGCGGCCTCCACTCTTACACGTCACCCTATGTTCCTCCCTCTTCTTGAAGCATGTGTTCACCACAGAAAAAAATCCACCACCGTCTGTTGAGGAGAGAAATCCTTCTGCCTCTGTCTTCTTAAACCATCACCACCCTCTCCCCCTGGCGACACTCTCTACCACTTCATCTAAGTTAGTGTAGAATTCCTCTTTCTCGTGTAACTAACATTTAACTTGTGGGGCATATGCACATTCATCGTCACCTATACAATTTTCAGCTTCAAACTCATGATCCTGTCTGACTTTTTATTCCCCTCCACAACATAATGCACGCACTCTTCTTCTAACCATCAACCAAATCCATAAAGCAAGTGGTAAAACAGAATTTTCCCTGGGGTTAATCACTGATGTGGTGGGTGGAATTAATGTGACTGTGTGTCTGTATTTCATAACCCTTCCCTCATTTGTATTATAACTGGTTATAATGTGGGTTTTCTAAACATAACTCCTCCAGCCATTAATTCAATCATGAGATAGTGGGTGTGTAGCTAAGACAAACTCTATTTGCAGACATATGGGATGATGTTACATGCCGCCATTGATTCTTTTTTGTTTGCAGAGAGCAGTTAAAGCCACTTGAAAGTAATTTGCAGTGAGCTGGAAGTTGATCGGGTCACTGGGCTTTGAGCTTAAAAAGTCCCAAAGGAGATCTTACATAAAATCAAGAGTTCCTGTGTAGGGAGACTGTCAGAGAATCTCCCTTCACGACGAAGGAGTCTGTCTTAGTGCTGGATATACACAGAAGTGCATTTATGCTGTTAGTTTTGTCATCTGGTTGTTTCCCTGAGGTTGCTTCCAGCAAAAAAAATCAATGCAATATTTTGTTTAGCAAGACAGAGCATGAACGTTATATGAAAACAATGTATACCTGCTATCTAACAGCCAGTAGGTGGGCGAAATATTGTATGAAGTCAAGGAAAGTCGGGAAACGGCTCATCACTTGATTTAATAAAACCTCAATAAAAAATCTTTCTAATCAGTTTATGGTTTAATTGCTTGTTTCAACTCTTATTAAATAAACATTATGTTCATGTTGTAACCTCCAGTATGATTTAGAATCAAACAGAAAAAAAAGCAGGATCCTTTAGGGCTTATTGAACCTGTAACTGAGAAATTACTACCTTATAAGTGTCTTCAACTTATGAGCTTGATCCACCTCTCACTCATCGATCCATCCATCCATCTTCTTCCGCTTATCCAGGGCCCGGGTCACAGGGGTCTAAGCAGAGAATCCCAAGCCTCCCTCTCCCCAGCCACCTCCTCCAGCTCATCCGGAGGAACATCAAGGCATTCCCAGGCCAGCTGTGAGATAAAACCTCTCCAGCGTGTCCTGGATCTGCCCAGGAGATCCAGGACACGCTGGTCTGCCAGGAGCGGAGCCCCTGGCTACCAAGACCTCTCACTCATGATGTCTGATTTTAAAAATATATGCGGCCATAATGCTGAACTCCTCTTAAGACAATGGACTTCTGCAACATTAAAGTAGTCCTTCAAGTGCTAAGACAGAAGCAGGTGCAGGAAAGGAGTTTCTTGGTGTTCTAGTTTACGGGGAAAGGTTAAGAAGATTACCCACAGTAGAAGAGAGTGAGAGGAAAGTACACAGTGCTCTAAGCTGAGGTTGCTCAGGAATAATCCTCACCTCTGGAAACTGTTTCATGTTCAAGCCAAGGAGCAGACGTGGCACTCTATAAGCTAGCTCTAATTACAGCCTGAAGCTCAGCAGGTCATCATTCAGCATCTGGACATTTTTCACATTTTTCATGTTCTCCACCTTTTGACATCAGTTAATGGATTCTTAGTCAGTCACATTTCTATTACTGCTCTAGAGGTGAATGCCACCTAACAGTCTGCAGGTGTTGTCATGACAGCTATCTCTCTGAAATACACGGACATTGATCCAAATCTACCAACCGAACCTCACAGTTCAACACTGCGGAGGCTGTGAAGAAAGCTGATTATACGTGAGCACTTTAAAAGCACTTCAACACAATATGTACACTTCTCTCCTCCCCTGCAGAACATTTTATTGTCACTTTTCTTTTTAGATATTATCCATCCTCATCAGTTCATTCTCTTAGCCATTGCTTTACCATGACTGTGAGACCGGCATCAAAAGCTGATCTAGCAACAAATATTTGTGCCTCCTTTTTAAAAATCCCATCTCTGAGAAAAGGTGTAATCACCATGGTTATTTCCCCACATCGGTGATTTTTTAAACCTTTGTTGTCCTTTTGTTCTCTGCCAAAAACAGAAGCTCTTCTTTCTACACTAATCACAGCGATAATCACCGTATACGTTCACCAATTTCACCGATCTGGCAGGAAATTCATCGAATCACCCACTCCAGTGAATACAAGCTTACAGTCTTACAAACTTTCTTCATGTGCAAGGCTGCTAGGCAAGGTCAAGTTCACCTGTTGAGAGATACAATGGCGGCTTTGTGCTGAGGAAAACAAAAGAGAGGCAACAGAGTTAGCGTTAATCTGTGTCTGACGTAATCATGACTTCTTTCTGCTTGAAATGTGAAAGAAATAAGTATTATTTTCAGCTTTGAGCGCCTGCCAATGCCCTAACATTACGGTTTTCTTTCTGTGGTTGTTTTCTGTATTACTGAGAGGTCAGAGGTAAAAGATTACCCTTATATGTGAATATTTAACAGTGTGATAAAAACAGTATTGTTCAGATAGCTCAAATAGACGTACAATGTTTTAAGTAATATCCTTATTGGCCTTTAGACTAAACGGCAGACGTGAATAGTTCTTCAGGCTATGGTCAGATGCTGGTTGGCCTATTTCAAAAACATCTTGTGTTTATCAGGAAAATAATCCCCTAAAGGTTTAATGGGGCAAATGTCATAGTGAGTTTAATGAAACACAGATTTGCCTGAGGTGTGGAAACTGATGTGCAAAATGCTTCACCTTATCTCCGTCTCCGTCTTATACGTCTGCTCCAGAAATGCAGGGAGACGAGAGGATAGAGTCAGAAACAACAACTAACACTACCTTATCTGTTTTTTTTTTTAAGATTTCATTAAGATTTCTGTAAATAGAGAATGGAAAAAAATCAATGTGTGGTCAAAAGATACCCAAAAAAGAAAATTCCTTCCTTTAAAACAGTACATTGTAACGTTTTCCTACTGATGGATTTATTTATTTATTCATTTTAAACTGTGCTGCAGATGTGATTTTGCAGCAATTATTTTACAGAAGATAATAAATAAATATAGAGGAGTAAAAAGTGACGTATTTATCTCTGAATTGTGGTCTAAGCGTGTAAACTAGTAATAAAAAAGCACCTCACACAAACCTTGAAGCTGCACTTAGGTGCTCGCCTGACTTTTACCTTCCATTATAAAAGAAAAGGTCAAATCATTTTGTAATGGGCTGTGAGGCTGTTTAAAAAGATTAGCATTGTGTGTCATTTGCAGGCAGCCAGTGGGTAAAGCTGTCCTTCTTCCTTAGTTAAACCTCTACCGTGGATTCAATAAACGATGTAACGACCGTGTGGTCGCACTCAAATCCAACATCCATCCAGAGTCTTGTGTCTTTACACAGATCAGGATCATTGTTAATGCACTCATTGTGTGTTTAACCTGTGTGTCAGTATATGTGCTTATATGCACTTTTTCAGACACAGGGGAACAGTAATGTGGACCTCACACGTACCGCAATCAAGGCCAGTGAATGCTGATTATTGTTGTTGTTAAATCATCTAACAGCTAAAGGACAAATTTGACGTAATTTAACGCACGATTAATATGCATCCAAAGGCATCAACCACTTTAAACACCTTTGCAGACGGCATGTGTGTTTGTGTAGCTAGACTTCTATTCATTATATCATCTTCTCCTCTTCCTCTGTATCCCAGCTGTGCTCTCCATTGTGGGAAACCTGCAAGTCCTTATCGTGGCATTCAAAAGGTCGTCCAGGATGAAACCGCCGGAGCTGCTGAGTGTGAATCTAGCCATGACAGACCTGGGAGCAGCTGTCACCATGTACCCTCTAGCTGTGGCGTCTGCCTGGAGCCATCGCTGGCTTGGGGGAGATGTTTCCTGTGTCTATTATGGCCTGGCAGGATTCTTCTTTGGCATGGCCAGCATCATGAACCTCACCATCTTGGCTGTTGTGCGCTTGATTGTGTCCCTCAACCTGCAGTCACCTAGTAAGTAATTCAGGGCTGACAAAAATACTGTTTCCAAAGATGCTCTTCCCACATCTGCCTCTTTTCATGTATGCATAGAACCGGCAGAGGTCACAGACGAGAGCCATGCTGTCAAATATAAAAGAGAATTAATGGAAATAAAAATCTTCTTACCTTTGTATTACATACCATCCGCAATGTTTTCTAATTGTTTGAAGGTAGAAACATCTCGCTCACGTCCATATGTTTAAACCTGTTTTCAGTGTAACTGTGTAACAGAGTTTTTGCGTTTTAACATAAAGGCAACTGTTTTTGTGTTTCGGTGTTTAATAAATAAAACTAAATTATTTCTATGCATGTGATATGTGATTTAAGAAATATAGGATCTTATCTAAGCTCTGCCATTTAACTGCATATAAGAAGGAGAAAGCAAATGTTCTCTTTATTTCTCACTGCAGGGGAGAAAATCAGTTGGAAGAAGGTGAAGATGCTGTGCCTGTGGTCCTGGCTGTATGCTTTGATCTGGGCTCTGTTTCCCATAGTGGGCTGGGGTCGATACGGCCCAGAACCCTTTGGCCTGTCCTGCTCACTTGCCTGGGGCCAGATGAAATATGAGGGATTCTCTTTTGTTATCTCCCTGTTCTTCTTCAACCTGGTCATGCCTACTGTCATCATCCTCTGCTGCTACTTTGGCATCGCCATCAAACTCTATTTCACCTACAAAAAGTCGATGCACAACAGCCACAGAATCCCCAACATCGTCAAGCTCCATCGGAGGCTGTTACTAGTGAGTCGCTCTTTACTGAAGATTATAAAGATCTGAAACTGTAGTTTGCTTTAAAGGGTTAAAATTCTGAAAATTGTTGAATATGTGATCATCGAGAGAGACGGTTCATCCAGTCAGCACTATACCCTGTGGTTTGGTCAACCAATGGCTTGATGTTAGTTAAGTTCCCTCCTATTCCTTTCTCAGAATCAGTTCATTTTAATTTTTTTAGGACTGAAAAGCACATTTAACCTCGTTGTTGAAAACTTTAAGCCAATCCATTTTACACCCACAAGTCTCACAATCTGTAGCCAAATGTAAGCATACCTTCTGTCTATGGTTTAATTAAGATGCACTAAAAAGAACTGGTCCTTATCAGGTCTTAAAATTAGGTAAACCATATGACATATTACACCATGTCATTATTTATTGAACAAAACCTAAGCAACAGTGCAGAAGCAGTGTGTCAAAAAATTAGGAAAACCCCATCGCCTCTGTCAGTGCGCCCCTGTAGCTGTGGCTACAATGTAGCTGCCATCACCAGTGTATGAATGTGTGTGTGAATGGGTGGATGACTGGATGTGTAAAGCGCTTTGGGGTCCTTAGGGACTAAAAGCACTGTACAAATACAAGCCATTTACCATCGATGCTGAAGCACCTTAAGCAGCAATTACATCAAATGGTTTTCTGTATGACTTTTTCAGTCTATCACAATGCTGAGGAGGAATTTTGTCTCACTCTTCTTTCAGTTCAGTGAGGTTTGCAGGTATTTGTTTATGCACAGCTCCTTTAAGGTTAAACCACAGAATTTATTTTGAGTTGAGGTCTGAGTTTTGACTGGACCATTGCTACACCTTGATTTGTGTGCCTTCGGCCATTCTTTTGGAGATTTGCTGCCGTGTTTGGGATCACTGTCCTGTTGCACGACTCATTTTCCATCAGACAAATGGCCTCAACCTTGACTCTAGAGCACTTTGGTGTACAGCTACTTCATGCTTAACTCAGTGACTGCAAGGTGTCCAAGTCCTGTGGCAAGAAAATGAATCCAAATCATGAACCTGCCACCACCGTGCTTGACAGTTGGTATGAGGTGTTTGGTTTTCACCAATGTGGTGCTGTGCTGTATGACCAAACATCTACAGTTTAGTCTCCTCTCTCCAAACATTGTTCCAGAAGTCACATGGTTTGCTCAGACCCTATTTGCAAACATAAGCTGTGCTGCCATGGTTTGATTGTCCTTTGGTTGGTCAGTTTTTCACACACGGCTTCTGCATTTAGGCTTAGTTTTTATTAAGTAATGCCATGATGCATTATGTGATGTGTTGCTGTACCTGAAGTTGTTATTTACCTCATTTTAAGACTTTCTAAGAACCAGATCATTCTTATTATGTCCCAATATGTAAAACCTGAGAATTGATAGGGTTTTTTTCTAACCATAACTAAATCAGTGACGCTCCCAATCATAATCCAATGAAATTCTTGCCTTGTCTTTGTTTTCATCGACTTTGAGAGTTTTTTGCTGACTTTATCCTCCTGTTTTATTTCAGATTGCTGTTTTGATCAGTATAGGCTTTATATGCTGTTGGACACCCTACGGTTTGGTAAGCCTGTGGTCCATTTTCCGTGACAGCAGCACCATCCCACCTGAAGTCAGCCTGCTGCCATGCATGTTTGCAAAGAGCTCTACTGTTTACAACCCTGTGATCTACTACTTCTTCAGCCAAAGCTTCAAAAGGGAGGTCAATCAGCTGTCGTGGCTGTGTTTATGTTGTAAGCCGTGCAAAGTCTCCAACACGATCAGTGACAACAATATTTACATGGTTAGTGCTAGCATCAAGCCCAAAGAACAACCACGATCTACCTTGCAGGAGATCACAGAATCCAAGTCAGTGACTTTGGGTTGAAAGACTGGTTTGTTTTTTGGAGCACACTTGAGAACAAAGACTGAAAATAATGTGTTATCAAGACAGACAGAAGTTTTTTTGTTTGTTTCTTTCCAAACGGTGTGTGGTATTATACCACAGCAGGGTAATACTTGGCCCTTTTCTGACTGGCCATGACATGTGGGAGGATGTGTTTGCACAATGTATTAAATGCTGTGAATGTGGAGCCAACAAAAGCTGTAATATAGAGTCAAATTTGTGCTTACAGTTGGTGAAACCCTGCTATGAGAGACGTTTCAGAGACAGAGCTGCTGAGCACACCCGTGCCCTTGAAGATCTCACCACAGTAAACATCTTTTTGTTATTTACTACATATACACACAAACACAATGAGATGTGAAAGAGGCAGGGGAGTGAGAAGACAATCAACTGCGACATATACTCAAACCGTGCAAATGTGCACTCTGCAGCAATGTAGGTTTTGAACAATCAAAACTTAGGGCCACTCTTTTTATTGTTGTCACCACATTTTACTGCAGTGTTTCCCACAGGCTGTTACCAGTGGGAATGCATTATTATAGGGGAAGGTTGTTTTTTCCATCCAGTTTATAGATATAAAAACCAAATGCCCAATGCTACAAACTTTCAATAGATGCTACACTTTCCCAGTGTTTCCAAATACTCGGCACATTTCAGCCTGATGTTCCCTTTTAACTTTTAACCAAGAATAGCTGAAGAAAAAAAAAGATGTGCCCACTTTTTTTTTCTTTTCGGTGGCCCTAATTCTCCTCCATATCTCAGACACACAGATCTCACTGCGAGAACAGTAGCACATTTGAGAGCGGCAGCCAATCAGAAGAAAGCTGGCTTAAATGGAGGGTCGTTTTTGAACTGTGAAATGTGGAAAGCAAGAGCTAGGTATTAAGTTAGGTATTAAAAATACGAGACTAGTAATGAGCAGGATAGGTCCACTTTAATGATTCAGGTTCAGTATACACGTGTATTTGAATTGGTTTGTGATTATTTTGAGATATTTGATCTGGTTTTCCTGAAAAAAAAAACCCACAATCATATTTTTGACTGACATTTTATTTCTGGAACAGCACAGGCAGTTACTGTATGTGTTAAATAGGTATTGTGTTGTACTGTTATTTCAGCAACCTGACATATGCATGGTTTAATCAGTGCTTCTGACAACACCCATGTTGTGAGCACGTACTGTATTGGTATCTCTTTCTATCTCGGTCCAGTGCGTCTCGCCCAGCGTCATCTGGGACAGGATCCCTCTCTTTGGAGTTTATCTTGTTTTCATGAAATTAAAATGACAGACAGAATTTTCTTTGTTTTGTTTATTTTTGTAGCTTTAATGCCAACAGTGTGTGGCCGTGTGTGCTGGTAAATATCTGTATTGGGATGTCCTTTTGTTTGATAGCATCTGAAAGAGTTCGTTCTTGATTAACAGAACACACGTGGCTTTGCTTTCATTCGTTTTCAGTCAAAGTCATGAACACTGGCTGCTTTTAGTCATAGTCTACATCCTTGTTTTTAAATGTGGAGCCAGAATGTGAAGTGCGTTACATTTTCAAAACACTTCTCTAATACAAGTGTGTTGTGACAGAGCCTCATTTGCAGCTCATTCGGCTTTGAAAGGTTGGTTTAGTGTTGAGACATCGACTTAAATGGTGGCACGAACTGAATCTTCAGCTGATGTTAACTCCCTTTGCCTTTGATATTGGAGTTGGTGTTTTAATTTTGTTGTGTGTGGCAAACAGACTTTTTTATTTCTTGCAACTTGTAACTACTGTTGACGATCGTGATTTGTGAATGTAGCGTTCTGAACACTGAACATATTTATGTATATAAGGGATTGTGCATATTTGAAAATAAACACTTAATGAATGCATTAAAGTCTTGGAAAATGACAATCACACATTCGATCTCCAACACGAATAATGAAAGAAGACTGACATTTAAGTCTGTTTTCTTAATCTCGTTTTAACCCTCTCAAGGCAGGCGTTGCCGATTTGCAACAGTTAAAAACTACCAACCTGATTACCCCACATACATATTTTATGAGGTTTTTTTTTACTCAGAAGTACCACTGCAGGACTTGGTTGTGCATTAGCAACAAAAAGTTTAATTTGAGCCTGAGAGGGTTAAAATCGGGGCATAAAGGTCGCCAACGCCAGCTGACGTATAAATCCATTAAAGGCAGAAGGGTGTGAATTTGCATGTATTTCATATACATGTATTGCTTTCCTCTTAGTATGCTCAGATGTGCCTTGATTCAATTAAAGGTCATCTTGAGAGCAGAATGCAAACTGTAACCATGTGCTCCACCAAATCCCACAGGTGGAGATCTGGTGACTGTGCCATTTGAATACAGTGAACTCATCGTCGTGTTAAGAAACCAGTTTCCAATGATCTGAACTCTAGTGAGTGACATTAAAATATGGGTGCACTGTGGTCATGAAGGAATGGACGTTCAAAACAAAAATACTCAGGCTGAGGTGTCAATGTTCACTTGGTACAAGGAGCCGCCCAAAAATGTCTCCCACACCATTGAACCAGCACCAGGAGTCTGCACCCAGGAAGGACGGAGTCCTGCTTTCATGTTTATCCTCCAAAGACTCTTCCACGACATGCATTTTTAATTTCTCTTTGATATTTGGGCATATTGGGGCCCGAAGAACGGAAAAAAAACAAATAATTACCAGATTTTTTTTTTTTACCTTATTTTTGTTTTAAAGAAAATGAGAGCCACAAATGAGGATATTCATTTAAAATTTTGACAGAACAGTAGCAGTATAAAGTCCTCGTAAGTGGATATCAGGCCCATGCAGAGCAAAATTGAGTATTTTGGTCTAAATAACCCAAAATGTGATGTCCACATATGTGGACGGCAGGTCCTAGGAGGTTAAGCCAGATTCTCACCCTCCCAGTCAAATGTCAGGGCTGAAATTGAGACTCATCAGTAATGGAAGCATTTTTATGATCTTCATCAATTTTGGTGAGCCCATGCAAACTCTACTCTGCACTGTGCATTTAGAGATGCTCTTCTGACTACCTTGGTTGTAACAAGAGTTCATATAAGTTACTTGTTTTTTGTTACCTTCTTATCAGCTAAAGCAGGCCACTTTCCTCCGAGCTCTGACATCATCAAGGCCTTTTCACTCAGCTGCTGCTCACTGGATATTTTTCTCTTTTTCACACCATTTTCTATAAAGTCTACAGATGGTTGTGTGTGGAAATCCCAGTAAATCAGTAGTTCCTAAGATACTCAGACCAGACCATTATGCACCTGCAACTAAATTGTCATCTTTTGTCCTTTCACAGCAAGAACATGCTTCAGCTTATACATTTCCAAAGTTCACAGTATTTATTTTGAGTAAAGACCAGTAAACCGAATTCAGAGTCACAATCAGAAAAATACTTTTCTCTAAAGGCTTCATAAACTCCGACCACTGTGACGGGGTTTTATCCTCGGAACAAATTTATGATTGATGCAAAGAGTCGAGATCAGAGCGACAGAAGGCCACTTACAGGACTGTCATATCCATGAAAATAAGAGGCAGGGATGAAGTTATATAAGAGGATTGATCCATCTCCACCACACTGGCACTAATCACACTCTGCTACATTATTAAATTACACAGAGACATTTCAAAAAATACATTCAAAGCAGGTTTGTGGTTTTCCCCGTGTTTTATCTTGGATTGTAAAGAAAAAAGGGCAAATTTCTGTCACATCATAATCCTAATTGGAATAACAGTGTATAATAAGTGCTTTCTTTTACACTCTGGAATTTTCTGGAATTTCAGATGTAATATAATCAGACTGATTAAGAAATCAATACAGATCACACACAGGTATGATGCAAAGGGTGAAATCATTAACAAACGTCACTCAAATCCTACTGAGGTTTGTCTGACGTTGCATTGTTCATTTTGAGTGTTGTTAATGAACACACAAAAAACTAAATGTAACAATTAGTCTTGCTTTTTCTTTTACATCCTCGTGCTACCAGTCACACTGATCCTGTACAGATGCTTGAACAAGCAGTTCGCTTTTTGCAGTTAGCTTTCACATTGCTTGTCGATTCTTTTCCAGGCTCTTTTCAATGTTGTCAATAACCTCCACTGCAGCCTGTGGGATCCTGGTTCCTGGGCCAAAGATGGCGCATACGCCACTGTGGTACAAGAACTCGTAGTCCTGCATTCAAACAGAGGCGTCACACGGTTTAGATTCACGGTGTTCAGGCAATGTTGGTAAATGTTTTAATCTTTAAAAAGGTGATGCACTCTTAAAAAACGAAATAGTAATTCTACTTTTATTATCTGGAGTGGGATGGATATTGTCAATTAATTACCACAACTTCAATAATCCTTGAAAGGTAAAAGGATTTAAGTGTTCAGCAAATATTAAGCTAATAGGAAAGGGATGGAAAGAAAGACACTTGAGCATTTATAGCTTGTGTTTTTCGTCTATCTGTTTAATTTCAAACCTACAATCTTAGACTTACATTTCAGGCTCTAAAAAAAAGGCGCATTAGGAGATAAAATCCTCTGGAATGCTTTAATTATCCAAAGGAAACCATGCATGGACTGCTTACCTGGGGTGGGATGACACCTCCACAGATGACAAGTATATCTGGCCTGTTGAGTTTTTGGAGTTCCTTGATGAGCTCTGGCACCAGGGTCTTGTGTCCTGCGGCCAGCGTGCTGACCCCGACGCAGTGAACGTCTGCATCAACCGCCTGCTGGGCCACCTCCCGGGGGGTCTGTTTAGGAGAAGGAAAGAAGAGGAAAACACACAAACAGCTCAGAGTGAGGTGGGCAGGATTTGAGGAAAATAAACATGAATGCAACAGTAATGCTGCTACTGTATTGTTCTCAAAATGTCATTTTTTTATGTAGAACTGCCAAAATGCCCAAAGATCACTTAATGTGTCTTTTTGTTTTCATGTGTCACATTTTAATAACAATGAAAGGCTTTTCCCTAGAAATGTTATTTTTTAATTTGTTGACTGTGCCTACACAGTCTTTCACAGAGCCCATCATTACTTCTAAAAGACTCACACTCACATTACTAGATTTATTTTTCCATTATACATTTCTCTTAATTTTTTTCCTGACAAAACCCCAGAGAGATTTTTGTCTCCTCCCACCATCTAAGCGGGGATCTCTTGGTTGTTAGGCAACTGTGTAAAGCATTACAACGTGAAGTCACTCCCAACAGTTTTTAATGAGTGTTTTCTAAATCCTATTTCACAGTCACATCTCTTAGTTTCAATATTTGATATGTCGTCTTGATTAATTTTTCCAGTTTTTTCAGAAACAGCGTAACACTTGAATATTAATACTTGAGTTCCCTCTGTCTTTTTTTATGAGCTGGGCTAAAAATAACAGCAGTTTAACGCCACGCTTTACTTACCACCAGCTGAGCTTAACACCAAGCCCTGTGATCAGTGGTGCGAACTCATGCCAACAAAGTGTGACATAATTAGCTGTAGGGCTCAATTCAAAATGCACACAGACCATGAGATCATCTGGCGAAGCTTAAATAAGCACCTTTAGGTTGTCTGAACTTTTGAACTGTCCAACAAAGATGCGGCGATTGGGTCTGTATGACTTCAGCCGCATGTCATTCATTTTTTATAAGTTATGACAATCGCCAACAGCATGTTTTCAGCTTATATATGCATCTGCGGTATGGAGTCGGGGTTCGTCGCCATTTCTTGATGTAGCTTGTCAGTACTACACATTACAGAGCATTATGTAGAGAGCAAAACCTTTCCCATTACATAGAAATCTGAGGTGTGAGCATCAGTTATTATTTTAACTACTCTTTAACACAAAAGAAGACCTTAAATGCCTCGGACACTTCAAATAACAGAAAACCCGCATGTGGCGGGGTGTGGCCTGGGCGCAGTTGCACCTCTCCTTAGACAACCTGGTGGTCTCGGGCTCCCCACGGAGCCCCATATTGATGCCGAACTTAGTGCAGACACCCAATCGACATAGCCTGCTGCAGCTCAGAGCCCTGAGCCTACAGTTTTTGTATTGTATGTATATTAATAACACTTCTCTTCCACTCGAGTGTGACAGCTGAGAGCACTGCCACTGCCCTCCAAGGTGCTCAGGAACTTTTACTCGTGCACCATAGAGAGCATCCTGGCGGGAAACATCTTAACCTGGTTCGGGAACAGCACCATGCAGGACAGACGAGCTCTACAGAGGGTTGTGCGGTCAGCTGAGCGCACCATCCGCTCCGAGCTCCCTGACCTGCACTCAATCTACAGCAGGCGGTGCTGGACCAAGGCCAGGAAGATCGTGAAGGACCTCAGCCATCCCAACAACAGACTGTTCTCTCTGCTGAGGTCAGGAAAGCGATTCCGCTCCCTGAAGACCAACACAGAGAGACTGAGGAGGAGCTTCTTCCCGCAGGCGATACGGTCTCTCAATCACACCACCACACAGTACTGACCCACACATGGTTCTTACACACACACTGGACTTTCTGGACTTTGTTTACACTAATTTGATTAGATGCGTGGTCATCTAATCGAATCACTTCATCACTAAATCACTTTAAGCATATTTGCACTGCACAAGACACAAATGTGGATTGCACAACACTGGACATTATATTTCTTCATTTCCATTTAATACTTGTACAGCTGCTGTTATTGTGTATATATATTTATATTTCTTCATACATTCTTATATAGTTCTATACTGTGTATTTTGTTGTACAGTTATTTTATTTTCAACTTTAATTTATATATTTATCTTATTCTTTCCCAGTTAAATTTACCCTTCATTCTAATTTGTGTTGTACAGTTATTTCATTTTTAACTTTAATTTTTATATTTTATTCCTTCCTAGTTAAATTTACCCTTTTTAATTTTCATATTTATTTCCTATCTTATTCATAGCCTTTTTTGTTTTCTTTAGGTCACGAGCAGTTGTGTAAGCATTTCACTGCATATCGTACTGTGTATGACTGTGTACGTGACAAATAAAATTTGAATTTGA